TGTAGAAGACTCCTCACCTCTTTTCTTTTGACTGAACTACCGAATCCCCTCACATTGTATGACAGTAACTTCATTAATGGAAAAAATCTGAGAAGAAAACAGAGGGAGAGCCTACCTTGGTATCTCCCGACCACACCCCTGCTTGTCTCTTTCTTCCATTCTTATGAATTTTCCCAAAATCAGCTCTTCTCGAGTTTCGACATCGATCCCTATCTTTTTTCCCAGATCCAGCACCTTATTTGCTTCCTCGGAGATCATTCCTTCCTTGATTCTTCTGTTGTTGCAGACAATATCCCCTTCTGATAGAGAGCCTTGTGTTACCTCCCCCCCAAAATTGATCGGCTGAACCCTTGCTTTCCTTCTTTTTCCTCGCTTCGTTCCACTCACCAATTTCATTGATTCAACTCTAATTTCTGCAGCAGTGTTTGGGGATTTTATTGGGCTTACAAAAGCTTGAAACTCGCTGCCCTCCTTCTTGCCCGACCCCAATTTGTGTTCATCACACTGGGCTTTGTATTTGCTACCACTTGGGCTTCTAAATTGGGTTATTTCTTGGGCTACCTGATCTTTTGTTGCTGGAACTTTACCGTTACTGTTTAGGTTCCTTCTTGTTTGGTTGTCTTCGTTCCCCTCACTCTGTTTCTCCCGCTCCTGATTAGACAGTGTGCCACCTATCTCTCTGTTCTCCTCAACAACTTACTTTGAGCCTCTCAAATTGTCAGGATAATTAATGCCACTGACATCTTTGAGTGGAGTTTGAATTTCCCCTCCCTCTGGACTGTTTGAATAGTCACATTCGAACTCGCCGAAATCGTCGCCAGGGTTAGACTCCGATGAACTCACTTCTGATTCAGTGATGGAGTTGTGTTTTCTTCAGCCACCAAGGATCATTTCTCCAATTCTCCTCCACCACAGCAATATTGTATCAATTGCCCTTCACTATAAGGATAAATTCTTCATTTATTGCCGATTTAAATTTGGTGGATACCAGGACCCTTGCTACGTCCAAACACTCCTTAGAGAGAGTGTATTCGTCAACTGATACACACTTACCCACTTGGTTACCAATTTTGAGTAAGTTTTCTTCAGTCCAAGCATGCAGTGGTAGCCCCTGAATTCTTGCCTAGACGAACCTTTCTTCTGCAATATCTGATGGTGACCAGATTTTAACTCGGTCAAAGTAGTGAGACACCCACTCAAGATTTCCATCTACCAACTCCTGTATACTCTCCGGGTCGTCACCGTCGATTAACACAAAGTTGCCTCCCATTGGAACAATTTTGATCGATGGAAATCCTTCATTAAAGAAAATCTCTGGAAGGCTTGGAATGATAGAAGGAGATAAAGCCATCCCGACAGCACATTTCATCAGCTTCTCTTCTACCTTGTCCGTTCTTTTTGCCTTTATCACCTTTTTGTACTTGAAACCTCCAGTATCATGTAACTTATTTGATTCTCTGTTTAAACTCCGCTGGGCGTCTCTGGCCTTTGATGGTGTGGGTTCTTTCTTTCTTGTTTCTCTGGGCTTTCCTCCCTCTCTGTGTTGCATGAGGCATTGAGCGTATGTCAGTTTGAATCTGGTCTACTTCCTCCAACCGCCTTCATGTGATCTTCATAAGTGGTCCTTTTTTTGCTGCTCTGCCATCTTGCCTTCTCTGACAGCTTTGAAGTCGTTCTGCGCCGCTCTTCTCTTCTATCCTCTACAGGGTTAAAGATCACCTTTTTGTTTCCAATCCACATGTTTTCTAGTTGCTTCTTCATCGCCTGATAGTCCCTAGCGTCTAAGAACCTAGCAAAACCATACCTATTGCCCCTTCTGTCCCTCTTACTCGGTATAAAGATATCCCACAGTCTTCCTTCTTTCACCGCTCTCCTAATGAAAAAGAAAAGTTGCTTCGCTCCCCAATCTTCAGGAAAATTGTAGAAGTGGAATGACACACATTGCTTCAATAAACCCTTGTTGTAAGCTAGCAGTCTGTGCACGAAATCCTTGAAACCGGTTGCCGATTTGCCATAAATGTTAAGATATCTTAATTTTTTTAATCCTCAAATAAATAGTAAATTCAGTAATTATTTGTATAATAACATTTGGGATTTGTTGTATTACCTGATATTTTAGCATGTACAGATTTATTGAAGCTGCATGAGCTAGAAGCTGGTGATGGGACACCAGATATGGTTCTGTTCTTGAATCTCCACCAGTGCAGTTCAGTTTCTGCCAATTGGAGCAACGACCCAGTGCCAAACTTCCGGTAGCATAGCCACCATAGCTAAAGCTGAATGGCTCATTCAAGGTGATCCAATGCTTCACTCTGTCACCAAATTCTCTGAAACAAACCTCCGCATAGTCCCGAAAATCATCCCTGAAGATAAGAAAGAACAATTTTTCTAGTCAAAACATGGCAAAAGTTACAAAAAATCAAGATGTCCTGATATTAAAAATATCAAAATATTCAATCAAAATCATATAATGAATAAGATATAATGTAAATTATATTTAAGTTATGATTTAGGATAAGTGTCTTGACATTTTTTAGCATTGAAATGTCTAATTTTCATTTTTATGTATATATAATAACTAATTAAAGTGTCTTTTAGGTTGGGGGGGAGATGAGAGGAAGGTCAATTGGGTTAAATGGGAGAAGATATGTAAAAAAAAAGGAAGGAAGGCTGGGAGTGAGGGATTTACGGAAGTTTAATTTGGCTTTGATGGGAAAATGGTGGGGGCGGTTGGCAGAAAACAAAGAGGGGTTATGGAAGAATGTAATTAAGGAAAGATATGGCGATAGAGGGAACCATTGGTTAGATTGGGTTAAAGAGAATACAGGAGTAGGCTCTATTTGGTGGAGAGATGTGTGCCAGCTGGACTCTTTGTATGGAGAAAGTGGAGGGTGGCTGTCAAGGAGTTATAGAATTAAAATGGGGGAAGGAAAAAGTGTTAGGTTCTGGTGGGATCAATGGTGTGGGGAAGGGTGCCTTGCTAATAGTTTTCCAAGATT